AGGGGTGAAGGGCAGAGTAGAGGCTAACAACGAAAGAGAGAAACTGAAGCGAGTGAAGTGGGAGAAGGACAAAAAAGAGCAACGAGGGGCGAGCAGTGGAGGGAAGAGAAAGAAAACAGCACGAGGTACCGAAACGGTAGTCGTTGAGACGATCCTGCTAAACAGGTAGATCGATATTGACACTTCGACCCGTATTCTGGTCGCTCCTGCGGCTTTAAACGTGTCCGTTCCTGTTCTATCCAGCGTTTGACGCTGAATGCGTGTCTCTGTTTACATTACCGGTAAGCGCAGGATAAACTGTAGAAATAATAGACATCGCGTAACTTTCGGCTCTTAAAAGTACGCTCGTGCCAAATTATTTGAGGCGCACTCGCGACGATGACGACGGTCCCGTTCGGGCAGACCGAAATAAATGGACGACCCGTGTAATTAGTACTTTTGCTTTTCGCGTATGCGATATTTTGACTCGTTAGAAAATTTCTCTGCACGATTATATGCACATACATGCACAAAAAATTGATATGATAATGTGTACATAGACTTTTTTTATTAATTATTAATATAGTTAATGGTAAGACACTAAAGGAGGTATCAGATCAGCAAATCAGAAAAAAGAATATCTAGTGGTCTCCAAAGAGAAATCTTCGATATACTTAGGCACTTAAGGAAGAAACAAGAACGGATCCCGGAAAAATCAGGGAAAATTATGAGGAAAGAGCCCGGGTAGCAGCGCACAAAAGGAGTTGAAACGGCGATCCATTAGCGCAGAGAATCTCGGAGTCGCGTTATGGTCGGGAACGGAATCAAAATTAAGTTATGGCGAAGTAAATACTGACGATTTTACGAAGGACCATTTTAGAACACTACGAGATGTTTTGTGTGTGCAGAAAAGCGATCGCTCGTCGGTCATCCTCGACATGCTGTGCGTAAAAAAAAATACAAGAGAAACATTGACAAAACCGCTTCCCTTCATGCTTAGGCCTCGTTAAAGGGGACAATGAGCGCCTCCTGTGCCATTGTCCGTGACTGCTACTAGAAAGGACCAAGACGTGAGATGACATGTTTATGAGACTGAGAAGTTGTGACACGTGAGGGTAAGTATCCTAACAGATTTCGTGGTCAACATAAAACCAGGGCTCAGGACGATTTGGTCGACATTGACAGGAGAGACATACAAAGAAAGAAAAATCCATCATGTCGTAAGGATCGAACCACCTGCTTAGTGCAACTGGTGCAACACCACTACTTCACACGTATAATAATAATTTTTAGTTGCTACTTCGGTTCTTCGTACATTCGCGTATACAAATATTCGTCTAGTATGATTGAATCTGCGCATTTTTGTACAGTTAATATTAAATTGAAAATACATGAATAAGTTTCAATTTTTTTTTCTTTAATCGATTGTGGCGCATACTCACTCCTTAATTCTGAATTCTCGTTTTTCTTCAAGTCGCAAAGTTTCCCTCGTTGTTATTATCGGGCGAAAGAAAAGGAGACAGCAAGTCTTGAGTTTCCGTAGTAACAGGCATGGTCCTTTTCTTTTGATTAGCTGCCGAAATATCCAGGCCCCGTCGCGACGGAGAGTGGGTGCGAAAAGCGTGATGACGGGCGATGGGCGCGGGGAGGCTGTAAAGAGAAGCGAGTGGTTAGAAACGGCACGGAGTTTACGGAGTGTGAGAGCAACGAGGACGGTTTCATCCGTTCGCCCGTTGCCAGACGAGGATGCCACCCCTCGTCCGTGGAATATTCCGCTGAACTCTGGAGCGGGACCGTGTGGGATCGTTCGGGAGAAAGAGAGAGGACAGTGTGTGTGCGTGCGTGCGAGTGAGAGGAGGTGAGGGAGAGGGGGAATGAAAAATCCCGAAAGTTAATGTCCCACACGGAACTAAAACTTAGAGTGAGAGGAGAGAGCAGAAAGAAAGAGAGAGATAGGGAGAGAGAGAGAGAGAGAGAGAGAGAGAGAGAGAGAGAGACGGAGAAAGTGAAAGAGTGNTGACGTTTTGTGAAAATGTATCTCACGGCGCTTTCTCCTCTCCACGCGAGATACATATTCTCGCCGGAGTAAAAATGTCTAAATCCCGTAGAAATTGAGATTGTCGCGGTTATTGATCTCGACTCGCATACTGGTCACAGAGTTGGTGTGTGCCATATGCCGGTCGACGGTAATCACGATCGGGGCTTAGCAGCAGTGTATTTTCGGTAAGCACAGATATCGATGCTCCCGGTGCACGAAAATGATCCCCGCGTTTATTTCTTCTTTTTCTTTTTTTTCTTTCGTGGCAACGACAACGCGTCGATTTGTGTGAAACTTCTATACGTGAAACATAGAAAAGCGAATTCACCGAGAACTACGTCGATTCAATTATATCGATTTTAACTTCTGATCGTTTTGACTCGCTCACAACCGCAGACTATGTAATCACTGTACCGCGTATTGCTGCTTATCGCCCGATCTTTATGTACGTAACTTGTACATAAGTTAGAACGTGTGCGTGAAATAAGAGCACAAAGAATGCGGCTGGTGCTTGAACGGTTGTAAATTGTAAAATACTTAAAGAAAGATATCTCACAATCTTTATGGTTGATACCTCGACACTCTTTTGCCACGCACTTTAACGGTATTCTCGTGCGAAAAGCAGATCAAATAATGTTTTAAAGTTTGTAAAGAAACTTTTTGCCACACTTGGAATCTAACGTGGCAACGTAAAATGTAAAAATGATTTGTGCACTTATTTCGCGTATATACTGTGTCCTAATTTTGATACTTACATTTAAGATACATGCATATAAGGCTGATATATAAGAGGTACGAGGTCTAATACATATATACATATATATATATATATATATATATAGAAGTCTGTGTTCACACAACGGCTAATCGCTGTGTCCTACAATCATAAAATATTTCAATAGCGCATTTGACATCAGATTCAGGGATTCGATTGTGAAATAAAAGAATAACAAAATATACCTCTGAGTCGCGAACGATCAGAATTGGCCATTGATGCCGCGCAGGCAAGAGAACTGAAAGAGAAAATTAATGTAGCGATGGCAATCAATATCAGCTGAGTTGCGGAAATCAATAACAGATGACAGTGCGTACACGTACAATGACGGACTTGAGAGCGCTGAGAAATTCTACACAAGATGTGGCAGACTCTTTCGTCGTTTATAACTCGAAAATTGTCGCGATATCGCCATTTTGTCACGAGTAGCTACAGTTTAACATTCCTAAAGAGTAATTAAATGCGATATCTCACGGTTAACCTAACTTTTCCCGATGCTTCATTTCGGAAGTTACTGCTCTTATATACGAGACGAGAGAAATCGTTTGGAGAAAAATATCGCAAGTATGTTACATTGAGAGTTAAAATGTTGTACTTGCGATGTTTATTTCTTAAGTGAATTCGAGGACGCATTCCTAACTTTAGATCAGCCGCGAGTGATCGTTTCGTTTGAGACTTCGGCGCGCATACTCACCAATTTATTCGTATTTCGTCATCGGTGCAATAAAAGTCGCGAGATTCCGGTTATTTATGCGTCATATGCACAACAGACTCGTAAAACGAAGTTTCATTGTTGCTCTGAGCGTCTTCTCCTACATGTCGGCGTGATTCAAGTTGAGTACTCGCGGTTGGAATTCGCGGTCAGACTTAAGACATTTGCGTATCATTGAAAATCGATCGAAAAACCCGGGTTGCTTTCTCAGTTGATTTAACATTGCATTAACATTACAATCGCGAGCGAGAACGTCCGAGAGAATCAAAATGAAGTGCAGCGGAGTCTCTCGCTTGACTAGCGCACCTTCGCGCACAGTCCGTGCGCATGCGCAGTCTCTCGCGGCGCTCCATTCCTGTTCGAAGCGCGGCGAAGTCGCTCCGCAATTTTCCGCGCGTTTCGCTGGTCGCCGGCGATCCCGCGGCGATGTTACGTGCGCGAATAACAGCCGACGTGCGTGTTGCGTGAAATTTGTGTCGAGTTTTCGCCGTGATGTCGAAATTGGGGGCGAATCCGACGGCGAACTGGCCGCGAGCGTTCAAGCGAGTGCAGCGTCGGCATCGTATCGCGCGACCGTTACGCGTCGGTGTGAGGAAAATTCGTTCATCCCTCGTATCTCGCTTCGTTCGAGCGAGATACGCGCGCGAACGCATGTCGTGAGTGCCAAAGTCTCGGAGTTTCGCGAGCGCTGGGTGAATCGGATGATCGTGGAAATACGTCGATCAACGATCTATCGTAAATTGGCTCTACGGAGGCGGAGCATTCGTGTGTGGGTGAGTCCTCTGAACGCAGTCGAAGTAGCGCGCTCTCAACCTGAAGTTGTCGCCACGATCGACAGTTTCGGCGGCATATACGATTCGGTGAATGAGATCATCGATCCGAGATCCGCGCGAATGATTCATTATTTGTATTGGCGCTGTACGGTATCGAATCGTTACGTGCACACCGGTGATCGTGTTTTAACAAGTGTTCCTTCATTAATTCGTGACGTCATCACTGATGACTTTTACAGCGAACTGTATGATGAAAAATTTCATCGAAACTCGCGTGAGAATGGACCTGTATTTTTTATCGTTAGAAATTTGATCGGCCTACAATTACATCCGGGGAGGTAATTATGTGTTCGACTTCCTTAATTGAACTACGTAATTTCCGTAATTATGTAATATCTATGTTATGTTGTCTTTGTATTTAAATGTTTATGACGCGTCTTTGCACCTTTCGCGTGAGTCATTCGGCAATGATTTAGCGATTTTCGAACTGGAATTAATTTCTCAAGTCGTCCATACACCGTTGGGACGCCACGACGAAATCGAGGATCGTCCGATGCCTCTGAGATCCCACTGTCCGACATCGAAGGGAATACTTCTCGATTATCGTATTCTAAATGCACCCACTGCGGGACGAAATCAGAAAAATTATACAAGGCAAATTATACTAATTATACATTATGATATATAACAAAATGAAGAATTATCAATCTGATTTGTCACATTTTTGACAAATTTATTTCTTTTATTTATTATTTATTTCTTATTTATTTCATTTAGAAATTTTATTCAGATAAAATCATTGTTATATGATTAATCATTTCAAATGATACCTACAATAAGAATTTTTAAAACGTAAGACTTGAATTTTAAGCCTTAAGTCGTAGGAAATTGACCGACCACAGTCGAGTGTGAGGATAATCGATTGGGATTGGTTAATTTCCTACTACGGCTTAAGACTTAAGTTTTACGTCTTAAGTTCTCATTGTAAACATCGCTTTCGCGCAATCACTGGGAAATTTCCACCAAAATTTCGTCCATTTTCACGATGCCATTATCGTGCAATGTTTCCACGATTTTTTTTTTAATTACCCGAAATGCGCGCATCCAAGCCTCGTACACGCAGTCGGTGACGTAGCTGTAAACCGCTCTCTGTAAATAATTTTCGTAAATCGTATCTGCGACCGATCGAAATATTTCTTTGCGAATATAGCCGATGATGTGACTGACGTTATCCTCTTCAGTCTCTTGCAGCTTCGTTTTCGAAACTTGAAAAGAAGGAGGCAAGAATTCTTCCTCAATTTCCGAATTGCGCGACACGGACCGAGAGCTTGCGTTGCGCCGCGAAGCTCTCGGCATTTTTGTTCTCGCTATCGATCGCATTGTCTTCTGTTACGATGTTGACGAGAGTCGAGGTAATGCGCGTTTCTTTTGTTCGTAACATTCAATATATATTTATTGTCTCAAGATATTGTGTGTATTTTGAAATTTACAGTGGTATAAATAAATGGTAAATCGCGTTACAAATGAACCGCGTCTAATACGAATCGTTAATTCCTCTTGTCGTTGATGATTGGCTCTCGGTGAGAAATTTTCAATTTCGGGTCTAGAGCTATAGATTTCTTCTTCGTAAGTGGCGGTGAGCCTTGCAAGAACGAAGCGATTGAAAGCGCTAATCTTCTCTTCCTAATGGGACGCGCCTAAGAGTGCAACTGTAGTTCACACGAACGTAACTCAAACGATGTATCTTCAGCCTGCGAAAATCTACTTAGGTTACAATGACATGAATTCCTTAACCGATACTGCCGATTTACTTTTGTGTTGTTTAAACACGAAGTCTCGTCGTTATTCTTAACCTATATATAATCGCATTTCAAGTTGAAGCGTTTCTTCGTTTTTCCTACCATATGTAATCAGGAGATTAAGAAGATAGGTACTTCGGTTAATTATCCGACGTGATATTTAATTGGAAGAGTTTAGATCTTTCGCGTTACATGTACTGCATGTCGTATTTACCTTCTTTCTTTTTTTGTTAACGTACGTTTGTTTCCGCTTTTATCGTATCTAATTTTTGCAATTCTGTTACACCGAGCATTTCCCAAGACTTTTACCTTTTCATTATCCTTTTCCCTTGCATTTACTGTACCTATTTTTCTTTCTTTTAAGCATATACGATCGTTAACGTGCTTCAAAAGATGTTCCTTCTTTCCTAAAAAATAGTTAGGAGACAATTCATCCACATTGTGCTTAATTGAATTAAAATTGCGGTTAAAGAGTTGACATATCGTTCCACATATCGGCTTGTGGAGACGCGACGTTGAATTAATTGACGGAATTATAAATGGAATTACAGTGGACGACATTATATAGTACAAGTGCTACATTGTTCTCTTATTTTTTATGCTATTCTATAATCTTTCGGTAACTCGTGTAATTCATCCCGCCGATAATACGAGCAGATCCGTAATGATATGATGATAGGCAATCTAGGCGATCGCTTAGAATCGAAGCCGAACGTCAAAAATACTAATAGTAAACATCATATACTGACGATGAACAAAAAATAAATGTTGTACAACAAAAGTACCCGTATATCTTCTTGTTTTCTTTGATTCTTTTCTGCTTGTATTTTCAATTTTTAAATAGTAACTTATAACTTCAGAAAAAATGAGGCTATATACAAAACAAATGGTTCGTTTATTTTGCGTGTGAAAAACCACTAATATAATATCTCTGACGATATAATAAAATGATAAAATAAAATATATAATAAAATCTAAAATATAGATATTTTTAAATGCAAGAATATATTTATTCTATGTCGCAACATAATAAATGTCACAGATATATAGTGTTCTTTTTCTTAGATACACGGATACTCTTCTTGTACTTGCGTATATTTCCTTAATAATTATGATTCTATAAGAAGTAGTTTCATAATTGTGTTTAAAAAATCAAAAATATGCGCATAAAAGACTGATTGAGGATATAAACCAACTTCTCGATATTCACTGCGTAGAACTAGGAACATAAAAAAAATTTCATATACAGATATACTCGCGATAAATAGCGTTTTAGAGAAGCATCCGAATTTTTAATTCCAAATGAATAAATTTGCAGTTGCATGTTAAAACAAACAGTTCGTTTGGTGAAGTGTACCGCGTAATGTAGATTCTGCTACAGTTCGCTCCGACATCTCAGGTTTTTCTTTATTACTCGAAGCTCTAATTCTCGCGTGTAATTAATTCTATTTGGACGAACCAAACGCTTGCATTAGACGGCTTTACTACATTACGTTACGGAATTACATTTATTTAATATTTCCGTTACTAACACGGAGAGATTCGCGCAACGAAATTATCTTACTTCGTTTCTCGTTTCTCACTTGGTTATCACATTCTCAGCTCGTGTTCTGAGAACCTATCTCGAACTCATTAGCTCCTTGAATTTTTAGTTTGTCGTGTCATTAGATATCGTGGATCCTTGTGTTTCTTAGAATTTTTTATCTCTCACTTGTTCGATGTTAAATTTTTCTTAGATAGACATGTATTCCAATTTTTCAGATTACTGATGTTACTTTCATAACACAAAATAGATACGCCGTTAATTCTTTCGATTTCACAAAAGCTCTCAAATTCTTGATTTTTTTTTATTTTCGGGTGTTGAGATTTTGAGATTGTTTTATTCTTAAATGATTAACATTTTGGATCCTTGAATTCTCGAATTGTTCCCTTAGGAAATTAGTACATACACACATTTCTAATCTTCTCGTTGTTAGATTCTTGAATATTCGAATTCTTCAATCCCAAGATGTACAATTCCTCGGATTGCTGGAAGTTGTAATCCACGAGTTCCCTGATCATTAAGTTGCTAAAAATTGTGTGTGTATATTTTACCTTCATTATACCTTCAAAACCTTAAATTTTTCAGTTATCTTGTTCCAAGATTCCTTGATCTTGCGCCACCAAATCCGAGGAACTATAGATCCTCGGATCACCAAAAGCTCAAATCCTCGGATTGTCGAAGACTCGAATCCTCGGATTTCCGAATGGTTACATTCTCCGGACTCCTGAATCATAGACACCCTACAATTCTAGGCTCGTTTCTTCTGGGATTCTCGGAATTTTCGAATCCCGGATCCTGCATCCTTGAATCTTCGAGGACCCTCCTCTCGTCTCCTAACAGTCGATACGACTCGTTTCTGGCGGTGCGCGCACGCGGTAGGTCTTTTCGTATTCTAACTGGAAGACCAACATCCATCGCGAAGATCCTTAAGCGGTAACGCCAGCAGCTATGACACCACCGCTTCCGGGAAGGCCGGTCTCTCCCATCAAGGCTAGGTCGATTTCCTTCGCAGCCAATCGGCCCTCCGAGATCGCCCATACTACGAGAGACTGCCCACGTCTGCAATCTGTTATAAAAACATACATATATATGTATATTTAATAACACGATGAACACAAATATTCTCGTCCTTACGATAAATGTCTAATGTTAGTTTCGATATTGGAAGTTCTAGAATTAAAGGAGATGTTATATTGTACAAAATTACTTTTACATCAACTTCATTCAATTAAATATAACGTACAAGTTTAACACAATTATGCCAGACAAATTACGTTACACTGAATTTTTTTTAATTTCCGTGAATGAACCTCTGAAATTAGACGCGGGCGGAATGGAACTCACTTTGAGTTTAGCATGACTAATCACACGGCAATGATGTATCCATAGCAAGATACCGCGATAAGATGCGATACTAACCGCCCGCCGCGTACACGCCGGGTATGCTGGTGTGATATTTCCCGGCCGGGGTTTTGTAGTTCCCTCTCTCGTCGAGCTCGGCGCTCAGCTCCGTGGCAATGTACTTCTCGGGCCCGAGGAAACCCATAGCGAGCAGCACTAGGTCGCACTTGTACACCCTCTCCGAATTCGGCACCTCGTCCATCTTCCATCGGCCGTTTTCGTCCTTCGTCCACTCCACGGACACCGTTCTGATGCCGCACACATGGCCATTCCCATCGTCCAAGAACTCCTTGCTCAGCGTGCTGTACCTACGCGGGTCTCGGCCCCATTTCAGCGACACTTCCTCGTGACCATAATCCACCTTGAACACTCGCGGGAATTGAGGCCATGGGTTGTCCTTTCCACGCTGTTCCGGCGGCGTCGGCAGGATCTCGAAGCTCGTGATCGTCTTCGCACCTTGGCGCAACGAGGTCGCTATGCAATCGCATCCGGTATCGCCGCCTCCTATGATGATCACGTCTTTGTCCTTGGCCAACAGTCGCATGTCGAGGGGCGCGGTGTTGCCCATCTGCTTCTTCTGCCAGTGCTCCAAGAAGCTGACGGCAAAGTGGATGCCCTCTAGGCTGCTCCGACCAGGGATCGGCAGATCCCGCGGCCAGGTCGCGCCGGTAGTTAGCAATACTGCATCGTATTGTTCCCGAAGCTCCTGCGATGAGTCATAACGCGTGAAAAATCGTCGAATCGTTACACAGGTGAATCGGAAAGTTGTGATACAGTCAATATCAAGTTAATGTCAAACTGGAATTTGCCAGGGCGCACAAACCGTCACGTCGAGACAGGAAAACATCTCCGGCGGTAAATTTGCCTCAAAGTGTGGGGAAAAATTCTGTGATAGCAGATTACAAAATTTCTGCTACATGTGGTGTTTCTTACCTGCGTCGTGACGTCCTTGCCGACGTCGACGCCTGTCCTGAAAATAATCCCCTCCGCAGCGAGCAGGGAGACGCGTCTCTGCACGACTTGTTTCGACAACTTCATCGTCGGTATTCCGTACTGCAGCAACCCGCCGATCCTGTCGTTCCTCTCGTACACGGTCACCATGTGGCCCGCCTTGTTCAGCTGGTGAGCGGCAGCTAATCCCGCTGGACCGGAACCCACCACGGCGATCTTCTTCCCGGTTCGTCTGGTGGGCGGATGAGGCACGATCCAACCTTGCTCGAACGCATGATCGATTATCGCGCATTCGATGTTCTTGATCGTTACCGGAGGCTCTGAGATCCCCAGCACGCACGCACCTTCGCAGGGCGCCGGGCAGACTCTTCCGGTAAACTCTAGATTATTGCGATTACTGATTAGATGCAATTACATGTATAACTGACCGAGCAAAAAGTGAGAAATTAAATATTATCAAAATTAAAGATAATGATAAAAATAAAGCATTGGTCTTACGTAATTTTTATATATTTTTTTAAATAATGAAGAATTTAATTTAGAAAGTTGATACGACGAAAAAGTTTCTTGCGATAGTAGTAGCTTGCCATTCAAATTTTGTCTGAGGAAAAAATTGATATGAAATTTCTCGGAGAATTTATTATTCGGAGGGGAAACAAGTATAATTTGGATAAAATGCAAAGAAACGAAAGTGAGCGATACTAACCGGGGAAATTGTTGGTTTGCAACAACTGATTCAGGGCCTCCTTCCAGTTCGAGTGGAATACGAGGTCGTTCCATTTCGGTATGATGTTGCCCAACGGGCAGCCATGGCTGCTCTGGCAGAAAGGCACGCCGCACTCCATGCACCTCGCCGCTTGCGTTCGCAGTGTCTTCCTGACACCCTGGAAGTTGTATATCTCGTCCCAGTCTTCTATACGCTTCTCAATCGGCCTGTACATGCTCTTCTGCCGCGGGTACTTCATGAAGCCTCTGATCTTGTCCAACTTGCGTTGCGCCATTTCCGCGTCCTCGATCGCGTCCTCTATGTCCTTCACCTTCTCATCCGCGACTTTCGAATCACCGTTCAGCACGGCGACCGTCTTCGGCTCTTCCAGCTGCTTCAAGGCGCGCTGATACTCGTACGGGAAGACCTTGACGAATCTCGTGGTTGGTTCCGGCCACATGGCTAGTAAGCATTGCGCGATCAGGGAGCCGGTTTTCTCGATGAACTCCTCCAGCAATTGCTTCACGTAGGCGATGTCTTTGGGCTTGTTCAGCGGCAGTAGCTCCACCGTTTCGGGGTTGCATTTACTCTTGAAGGAGCCGTCCACGTCCAAGACGTACGCGATTCCGCCGGACATGCCGGCGGCAAAGTTCCTGCCGGTCAGACCCAAAATCAAGGCGCAACCGCCGGTCATATACTCGCAGCCGTGGTCGCCCACGCCTTCCACCACGACGACTGCGCCGCTGTTACGCACGCTGAACCTCTCGGCGGCGATGCCGCGGAAGTAAGCCTTGCCGGAGGTCGCGCCGTACAGGCAGACGTTCCCGACGATCACATTCAGGTCCGAGTTGAAGTCGGAGTCCTTCGGAGGATATATGACGATTTCTCCCCCGCAGAGACCCTGCAAATATGGAGGCAGTTTCGGTCTCAATTGTTTGAACTCTCTTCAACGGCATGTTGAAAGGTTTAAGTATTACGAATTTTTCAATTGAAAGGACGTGAAAAATTTTTTATACCTTGCCGACATAGTCGTTGGCATCGCCTTCGAGGGTGACGTGGATGCCTTTCGTCATGAAGGCGCAGAAACTCTGTCCCGCTGAGCCTTTCATTTTGATGTTGATGCTATGCTCAGGCAATCCGTCCTCTCCGAATCGCCTGTGAAGCAATTACGATGTGAGTGAGAATCAGTGAACGTCTAATAATATTGCTAGTAAACAATGAAAATTATTGCTTGCGTCGCTCCATTTAGTCATTTTGCGAAGCTCGAGGAAAAAGGCGAGAATATCGAGACGCTTACTTGGCTACGTGGTAACTCAGGGTTGAGCCAAACGCTCTGCATTCGTTGTTGATGCTCATCTCGATATCGACGCGATTCTGTTCACCGTTCAAAACAGGCTCGGCTAGTTCGATCAGCTTGTTGTCTAGCCTGTTCTCCAACTGGAAGTCTTGCTTCACGGTGCCGCCCTTGATGTTCACACCGGGTCTCAAGTCCAAAGCGCATCGCAGAATGTTGCTGAGGTTCAGGGTCTTGGCTTTCTCGATGGTGATGTTGTCGCGTACCTTAAGGAGATCGGTGCGACCGATCAGGTCTTGGAACTTCCGGATCCCCAGGCTAGCCATGTGCGAGCGAACCTGGAAAAAACGAAGAACAAGAAAATTAGATAGGAATTCTTTATTAAATGCGTCCAAGTGACACTTCACATTTGCGTAAAATAATTTATGTTCCATTATTTGCGTTGTATCTGTTTCTGCAAAGAATAATGCAGAAAGCATCAGAAGATTCTTGATACCAAAAGAGGCAACTTTTATCTCAGCAAAATAACCTTTGAACGATGATTTTTAAACGAGAAATATTTTAAGCTGACGAATTAGTGAGTTCTCTGCGCTCATCGAAACGATAAAACATCACAAGTGAGTCATGTAAGTTGTTTTTCTTCCATCTCATTGGAGATTTTATTACACAACTATGCATAATATCTGAATTTATCGCTATTTTGAATAGGACATAAATATTCAGCTTTTTTTCTTTTAAGACCGCAAACATTAAAACGTTTTAGGAAAAACATTGGAAGAATCCTACGTATGCAAAATTATTTATACACGTTTAAACATATTATTTTATGTTCAGTCGTTCTTCTATCGGAAAAAATTCGTATCAAGTAAACTCCAAATAAATATTTATAACATTTATAAATATTTACAAATATTATTTGTTTTACATTTTTGTTTCTCAACAGTACCGAGTCTCTTAGACTCATCGAGTTTTTTAACTATTCAAAAAAAATAGACTTTTAAACGATACGATCTGCAATTTAGATTATAGACTTTACATGAATTAGTCGAGAAATAAAAAAAAAACGATGAATTAGATAGAGGAAACGACAAAACGAGAAGAAGAAGAAGAAGAAGAATCTCCTGCATTCCGCATACCTCCTCAGCCAGCGCAAAGAAGAAATTGACCACGTGTTCCGGCTTGCCCTCGAACTTCTTCCTCAATATCGGGTCTTGCGTGGCAATGCCCACCGGGCAAGTGTTCAGATGACACTTCCTCATCATCGTACAGCCCATGGCGATCAACGGCGCGGTGCTGAAGCCGAATTCGTCTGCACCGAGCAACGCCGCCACCACGATGTCGAAGCCCGTGCGCATCTGACCGTCCGCTTGGACGATCATTCGCGACCTCAGGTTGTTCAGAGTCAGCACCTGGTGCGTCTCGGCAACGCCCAGTTCCCACGGCAGCCCGGCGGACTTGATGCCGGTCCAGCTACTGGCGCCGGTACCACCGTCGTGGCCGGATATCACCACGTGTTCGGCCTTGCCCTTGGCGACGCCGGCGGCGACTACGCCCACTCCGACCTCGGACACCAGCTTGACGGAGATGCGGGCGTTCGGATTGGCGCACTTCAAGTCGTAGATCAGCTCGGCCAGGTCCTCGATGGAATAGATATCGTGGTGCGGCGGCGGCGAGATCAAGCCGACCCCAGCTACCGAATGTCTGGTCGCGGCGATCTCCGCGGTGACCTTGTAGCCGGGTAGCTCGCCACCCTCGCCCGGCTTCGCGCCTTGCGCCATCTTGATCTGTAGGTCGTCCGCGTTCGCCAGGTAGCTGGCGGTCACGCCGAAGCGGCCGCTCGCCACCTGTTTGATCGACGAGCGTTTGCTGAATTCCGGATCTTGGTTCAGGTATCTGCGGAAGGTCGGGAACGAACCGGGTCAGAAATCTAATTGATATCTCTGGCGATTTCGTGGGTCATTAGAAGTGAATACTAAACCCCAATAAATGAATTAACATTACGTCAATATTATAATTTCTCACTTAACAATATAAGTGTAACACATGTACGTAATAGTTAGATTGTTGAACGAGAAATTATAATATTGATGTAACGTTGTTGCCACTTGGTGTTTATTGTATCGTGTTCACGGTTGAAGACCAGTTGGGGCAAAGCAAGCAATGATCGAAATTAGCTGAATCATTGAATTCTGATATCGGACTTAATGAGGTAGTTGGATGGCAAATGAATTGTCATCTTCCTCGCTCGAATCTTGCCCCTCGTTTTCATACCTGTCCGCATTTTCTCCGCCTTCGCCGGTGTTCGATTTGCCGCCGATGCGGTTCATAGCGATCGCCAGTGTGGTGTGAGCCTCCATGGAAATGCTGCCGAAGCTCATCGCGCCGGTCGCGAAACGCTTCACGATCTCCGACGCCGCTTCCACCTCCGTAATAGAGATCGGCTCGCGCGACTTCTTCAGCTCGAGCTGGCCGCGCAGGGTGCAGGCTTGCACCACTTCCATCGTGGTCCTGCGGTAATTCTCGTAGGCAGAGTTGCTCTTGGAGACAACGTAGTCCTGAAACGTACGTAGTGTTTTTTTTTGCAGCGGATGTCGATGTTGCAGCGAGCGTTACACCGTGCTAGCCTTGCAATTCATCATTTGTTACCTGTAAATTCGCGATGCTAGTGGGATCGTTGATATGCTTCTCGCCGCCGGATCGCCAATGATAGATACCCGGATTGCGAATCACCAGCATGTCCATGGGCTTCTCCCAATACGTGACCTGATGCCTCTCGAACGCCTCCTTGCCCAGAATATCGAACGTCACGCCGCCGATGCGCGACTGAGTGCCCTAAGAATTAAACGCGCAAAACTCGAATGTTAACGAATCTATCGTTCACTATATATAGATAAGATACGCGAGATTCGGTGTCGAAGTACATCATTGAAAACAGTTGGAATCATCGAGCGTCATGAATTGGATCCAATTTCTAATCACTTGTATTCGCGGGGATAAGAGGAAAATAGGCAAAATTATTGCCAAGGCAGGCGCTGCGCACCTTGAAGCACTTATCGATAACCTCGTCGGCCAGTCCAACTGCCTCGAATATCTGCGCTCCCTTGTAAGACTGCAGAGTCGAGATTCCCATTTTCGCCATCACTTTCGCGATTCCTCGTTCCATCGCGTCCGCGTAATTCTACAATATTCGAACGAGTTAATTGCCACCTTCCTAACTTGTCTGTCGCGCGCAAAAAGAAGGAAACTTTCTACAATTATCGTTATGTTACTTCATTTATACCATTGTCTCTCTCTCTCTTTCTCTCTTTTATTTCTGTCCTCACGCTATTTTCTTCTTATACTTATGTAAAGAGTTCTCCTTTTTCTGTTAATAAGTGATTTTTAGAACGATTACTGAATTCACTTTACGAGGATCTCCGTTTTATCGTGCTCACCCTATAGATAATTTTGTCGGTGAAGTTTGTGTCGAAAACGTTGTCCGCTCTCAGGTTCTTCGCCATCTCGAACACCAAGTAAGGACATATAGCGTCCGCTCCGTAACCGAGCAACACGCAGATGTGGTGGACCTCTCGTGCCTCCGCTGTTTCCAGGACGAGGCCGACCTTCATTCGCTGTCGCTCCTCAATCAGATGATGATGAACGCCGCCCAAAGCCAACAAACTGCTAACCGGCACTCTAAAATCGACGGATCGATTTGAATTGTGGAAACTTCTTCGCGTTTCCCACACATTTTCTCTCTCACAGCGTCGTCCTATGAGATCGTCCCGTTCTTTTTGCTCGTTTGAGTTAGAGCTCACCTCTTTGGGCCACCCTGACGATCGGACAATACGAGCATCTGATAACCCTGTCTAGCGGCCGCGTTCGCCTCGTTATTCACGCGGTTCAGCGTCTTCAGCAGCCCACCGGGCCCGTCTTCGACGGGGTAAGTGATGTCAATTACCTTCGTCCTCCATCCACGGTGAGTGGTGCGCTTGATGACCTCCAAGTCAATCAGCGACAGTATAGGTTGCGGCAAGAACAAGCGATGCACTTGCAACTCGCTCGGCTCCAGAATATTGCTCTCGGGCCCGATCGGGCAGAGCATCGACATCACGATCTTCTCGCGGAACGGGTCGATCGGCGGATTAGTCACCTAAAACAGAGATCACGTATCGGCGGACTCTCTCGTTAATTCGCGGAAGTCAAACTTTGCTTTCTTCGCCCGGTGAATTCCGCACGTTAAAAGTTAATGAGGCCGCGTACCTGCGCGAACAATTGCTTGAAGTAATCGTACAACAACGGCTGGAACTCCGACAAGCATGCCAAGGGAGCGTCGTTGCCCATGGATCCCAGTGCTTCTTTCCTGAAATTTTCAGTTTACGATTACATCGATGAACATTTATGAGTATTGATTATGGGGCAATTAAGGCAATATTATTCAACAGCTTCGTTCAATTCGTCAAATTCGCCCGCACGATTCCATGATTGAGCTTCACGCGCGCACATTTCTCGTTCAACTTGAATCGCTTAAAATCCGTCAATTGGTAGATTAACAACGTTAGAAATAGCGTTGAAATATTGGGAGGGGGGAGGGGACAAAAAAGTTTCAACTTTGCTAACGTACTTGGTCTGCACCATAGGCAAGAGTAGCAAATTGATGGTTTCCAGAGTGTAGCCATAAAGAGAGAGTCGTTTGTCGCCACTCCATACTTTATTCACAGCCGAAACCTCGCCATTTATATCGTTGATGGCGTTCTTCTTCGCGATTTCCGTCTCGATGGACACCTGCCTGTTCTCGATCACGTCTTCTGCATTGGTATTGTGGACGTGCGCTGCGCGCAATTCATCCATAGTAATCTGTATTCGAGAGAGCACCGTTTATTACCGCCGTTAGCCGGTTTGCAAACGCATTCCTATACATTGTGAAGAAGAGACTGAAGAGTAGAATGGATACTCGGCAATCGGACGTGCATTTCGGAATTTTACTCATCCGTACTTTAAAGTCACCATATTCGTGTATCTATCTTCGTACATCAAACACCTTCGAGTGTGAAAACACAAAATCACAGATATAGTTAATCACTACATATGAATATCTCCATTCCGATTATCATGCAATAGAGTTCTTCTATCTCTGAATGTACATTCTACGTTCGGAAAAAAGTGACTTTCAACATGGTCATTTTTCCCGTCCCGTCTATTAGATTACAATCGGGCACAGTTGAGACACCGATAGATGCTAACGGATTTGAAACCGGCATATTTTTTCTTAATGCTTTTCAAAAGCATTCAATTGGTCTCGATTGTATCCGATTGTGGGCGTAAAAGTGAGTGACAGAGATGAAAGTCACTCTTTCGAGACGGTAACATGGCAGTGTTTAGTACGAACAGAAGATGCATAGTGTTAGAAAGAAGTGACACACATTCATATAATAATACGTTCAGGACGACTCACCCTCTGTACACGACGGTACCAGCACGCACAGCAATGGGGGGGAAAAGTTATCGTGGCATTAGAACTTTTTCTTGCAAACTGGTGCGACAATTTTGTAAGTTAACACGATCGTGTTAATCGCGCGATTGGGGACAGCTAAAATCAGCGGAACTAGCGTGTTAACTGTCTGACGAGGCGGCGTAATCACGTTGGCGCGGTTGTGTTATTCGGTCAATGAAAAAGAAAGCGTTAATCAATCGATCGATCGTCCGGTACGTTCGAAGGCAAGATGAGGGGAAGCGAGCGAATTCGCTTGTGTGGACGAATGCGGACAAGCGTGGCGATAATCTTGTTATTATTCATGCAAATATTAGTCATATGAAATGACGCGTATGATACAAAATGGCGTCTTTTTCAACATTACGCTCTCCCTCCTTGAGAATTACGGCGCGAGTCTCGTTCGATCTGGAATTTGCGTACTTTTTTCGCGAGAGAAAGAGAGAATGGCTGACTCTCAGATACGAAGCAATTAAATTCAAATGAGCGGGCTACAAAGTAAACATAACAACGATAAAGCAGGCCACGATGATGATGATGATTCAATATACAACACGTGCATTGCACGTTTCCCAACCCGATAAGAACGTGCCTCGCCAACGATGATGGACGATCAAAGATCATTTGCGTCAAATGCCGCCGGCGTCTAACGCGCGTGTAACCGCACGGCAGAAGATAGTAGACTTTTCTCGCGACCACAGATATTGAGAACCCGCGTGTCTTCCGGGGGTCGCGCGCGCGTTTTCCAGTTACCTGTTCCTTGAGCCACTTGGAGTGCGGCCTGCTACGAGCGATCTGCAACTTCAACTCGACATCCTCTATGATCCTCTTCTCTTCGGTGTCAACGAGAAGCATTCGGCCGGGCTTCAAGCGACTCTGCAAATAAAAGAGACACAAATAATCGCCATAGAACGGGGATCGACGTCGAATATGATCGACATTCATATGACAGCACTGGATGACGGTCCTACAGCTCTATACAAACCTAGTCCCTAGATGACAAATTATACATCATACATGATACATGATCAAAAAATAAATAAAATACGATATATGTAATTAGCTATCATACATGTACTGACGTACAGCGAGTAGGCATTTGCGATTTGGTGACAGCCTGCCCTTACCGACTCTCTTCGGCTGTGCACTTCGGCACAGTTCCTCGATCCTCAGATACGACGTAACAACACACACGCGCCCTAACGTTAGAGGCGAGCGGTTACCGTTCTCCGCGACACTGAAAAGCGAATCGACGGGAACGCATCTGAGGATCTTCGCCGGGTCTCCGGACAAAGTCAGCGATGATGATTTCTCTCTCAGTGGCCACCGTGCGGCGATCATCATCTCGTAAAGGCAGAGTGCCAGTACATTACAATTGTCGAGTTGCCCGATCTCACGTGTTAAGTGTTGTCGTTGCACGGTAGAACTTCGTTTATCGGAATATTTTCATTACGCGAGCAGCGTCATAGGAGTTACGATACAACGTGTGCGATTTCTTTCTTTACATGCCGCTTTATCAGCACGGGACAGTTTTTACGATTGGAACGATACACTGGCTTGTTGCTTCCGACGAGGCACCAAAATGTCGCAATGGCGATAATAAAATGCATTTGTTAGACGCAGATGAGACACGATGAGATATAAAATGAGCTCGTGCGCCAAACAAATCGTATGACGGTGCTTGCATCCCAGAACGAAGACGCCACGGATTCGAGAGCCTGGCTGAGGATAAATATATAACCAAAGGACGCACATGATCAACGACTCGTGTAACCAAAGACCTTCTGGAACTTAAAATTTGCGGGCGGGCATGCAACTATCAAGCCACAAAATCTGCAAAACCACTTCTCTTACGCGGAATCAACAAGCCACTGCGGCGGTCAACGCAACTCCCGCGCTCGACAACCGTAAATCCCGAGAGACCTTCTTCACTGTCGAAAGAACACCCTCTCTCTCTCTCCTTCCATCTTTCCCGATAAAGAAAGTTCTACCCTTCCATCGCCGCTTCCTCCAACGAGGAACCGGCGAGAGGTCAAAAAGCGGGTCATGTTTCGTGGCATAATAATAAAGTTCAACAAGACAAATGAGAACCGTCGAGAGGAGTACCCGATGACGTCGACAAGGCGCGCCCTACTCCGCGTCTGGATGCGCGCTCGAGAGTATCATCGACGTGAGTCGCTGTCGCAAAGCGAACACTTGAGTAAAAAAAACTCGCTCGCCTTCTCTCTCTCTTTTTCTCTCGGCGATCGACTCACGTCGCTCTCAACCGAGAGAAGCGGGCTTTCGAAAGGCCGACCGGCGAGACTCTCGAGCGAGGAAAGCGATCAAGACGCGGACCGAGCGCGACCTGCCGCCCGGTGAAACGCGCAAGCATTGCTTTTGTACAATTGTATAGAGGCGGGGGCTTTCGGTTCGCTTCCCGTGAGCGAGAGGTCCTTGGCCAGAGGAGGTCCGACACTTCCACCGGGTGGGCGCGCGAGAGGGAGAGCCTCCTCGTCGCTCTTCTATAGCTGAAATGTTTCTATGCTGGGAGAAACAGAGAGAAAAGGCGCGGAGTGAAGGGGGGTGGCTGGGGAAAGAAGATTATGGGGGTGACTCGTCGAATAAATCATAAACACTGAGCTAGGTCTCCGCCTCAGACAGAGAGAGACTCCCTTGGAACCGGCGTTGGGATGCGCTTATTTTCCTCGTTTACCTTCAGGACTACATTGCTGGGCGGAGTATCATAGACGCCCACTTCGGACGCCATCACCATCATGTTATCCTTAGTGACGTAGAAGCGCGACGGGCGCAGGCCGTTTCTGCCAAACAAAAATTCAAAAAGGTCTTTTGTATTTCACCACCTCTGTGTCGCGCGCTAGGTATCAGCTGTGAACTACATTGCTGTTCGTTCGTTCGCTTGCCTGCCTTCCTGCTGGCTTATACTCGCGTATACTTTCGTTCTTTCTATCTCACCTCTTTCTCTCTCTTTCTTTCTTTCTTTCTCTCTTTCGTTCTTTCGCTCTCTCAGTCTCAGTTGGCCTAGGCCCTATTTACCTGCATTAGCGGCACGTTGGGACAACGATGGACACTTAGCAAATCGTAAACATCGATTCTCGCTTCAGCTGTACGGAAACACGGCAGAGGGAAGCCGTGAGCTCAGAATTATCGTTAGATAATTATCGTTAGATAACATTGCAATTTTATCGCTCGAGAGAGCAATTACGTTTTCAATTCACCGGGTTTACCTCCGGGTTCCCCCCTCCCGCGAGACACCTGTTCATTCTGCTTACATCAAGGCGTTGGAAGATATATATAACGGAAATAAGATGTTAATTACAATTAAATGTGACACTTAATTCTGAATTAATTAGCGCGACAGTTGGTCTCGGACATTTTGGAGATTCTGAATGAAGTATCAATCGTTCTGTCGCAATCGCTGTCTTTCAGCAAATTCCGTTTTCTTTCGTACCGATCGTGCAAAAATAAAGTCTCAACTAAACTAACCGAATTTTTAACTCTCATTCTAAACACTCAATCTCCATCAAGAGATCACAAAATATTTTTACAAGAAGATTTACATCTTTCCGAAGAACGAAAGATACATTTTGCGATACATTTAATTTCACAGGAATTCCAATCATAAAGTTAGAATTTAAAAGAAGGACTTAAAGGAAGAAATATTCCCGTCGATTCCGCTCGTTTTGCACGACTTCCCTCTGCCTTGGAAATCCATGTTTACCTGTACCCGAGAGTATCTCTATGGCACGTAAATGTACACGTGTGCACCGTTCTCATGTATTTCGTGAACACCGTTAATCCTGCTGAGTGCGTCTTGCAAAGCGTAGGCAATACGCCCACGTGGCCTAGCATTTTTTCTTCGCGGCTCCTCTAACAAACGACACCGCAGAATCCTTTCGTGCGTCTCGTTTCTCTCTCAATGGGGGAGGAGAGGATCTCCTTTCAACACTTTGAATTTCGCTGCCGATTCGACCCTTTGCTTCTCTGCATCGTTCATCTCTAATACGAAATCTTAAAATCGTAAAACGATTCCGTCCGAGATAGACTGTATTTCGAACAGCCGGTAGCCTTCTTAATGTTCGACAAGTCAACATTTTTACGGCGAGTTATGTTAAAAATGCAATAGCACAACAAATATAATAAAAAATATAACAGTACTGACAAATAAAAAAAGAGTCTCTTATTGCCGCAGAAGGCTGCGAGTGTAGCAAAGGGCCGCTTCAGATAGCGAAAGATCAATTAGATCGCGTGACTCTGTAACTTTTAATTACATTAGCTCTTAACTGTCAACGCGAGAACTTTACCTTGTATTATTTCCTCTTGCGTCGATTTTGGTGAATTAATCAGCAGTTATTCCACGTCAGGGACAGTCCCTTAACGGAACGTTTGATCAATATTTGCGACACTGCTCGCGATATTGATCCGCCATTGCACGAAGTTATCTTAGTGCAAAGAACTCACTCACTTACCTGTGCATCTTGTAGCGAATTTAAGTGAATTCTCTTTAGTAAGTTTTCAGGGACTTCTTGCAATATAGCGTATCAACGCACTTTCATCTCTTCTTCGCATCTGATAAGCATGTTGACAGTCAAGAGCCTAATTCATCGTCGCATTTACGTTGTTTCAACAACTTACTGTCTTAGGTTGTTTAGTTTGCAAACTCGAGAATTTCTCCGATAAATTTCAACTCGTTATGTTGTGTTAAAGCATCAAAATGCTCCACACACACACCCACACACACGTACTACGTCTTGCTTCTTAAGGATTCTCGAATCAGCTGGGAAATTCGCAATACGGATATCAAGTCGAAATGCGATACGATGCCTAAGTCATCGCGATCAGATTCAAAGTGTTAAAGATCAATCATGAAGCCAAAGATCCAGGAACCTACAAAACCGCCCGGATCGCTTCCGATCCGGGCACTCACAGAGACCCGTGGATCTATGGGCGCAAAAGTGCGTAGACGGAGATTACCAGATGGCACGAACGAGAGGGAGTTGGCGCCTACGTGGAAACGTGTGGCATAAACGACGTAACGAGAGATAGAAAATTTTTCTACCTGTCCAAGATAGCGCCGACGTAGCGGCCGTCGGTGAAGGTGAGGAGTGCCGGGCCGTCCCAAGGTTCCATGGCGCACGCCGACCAATGGTAGAAGTCGCGTTTCTCGGTGACCATCGTCAAGTCGTTTTGCCAAGCCTCCGGCACCATCGTCATGACAGCCTGGATTCAGTAACGATGTTTCAGGCGTATTGCACATGGACCGGGATTCTCGGTGGACCAGGAAGGCTGCGGAAAGCTAAGGAAACGCAGCGCCGGCGACGCGACAATGCGTCGATCCTCATATCCGCGGTATCCCGGATCTTTCGAGGGATGACAGAGATGGTCTGCGAGGAATGCCGGGAGTAAAAGAAACTCCTAAAACGAAGGAGAGGAGAAGGGAGAAGAGGTCGGCGCAAAACAATTATCTCCGAAAGTTCCGTAATAAGATTTGGGTTCTGCGGGATCACCGAGGAGCGTTCAGGTCCCGCGGACATGAGGAGGATTCGCGGGGTCTAAGATCCACGCGAGATCGCCGCAGCCACGGGCAAATCTAGAAGGTTAAGTTCGCCGTGATGGTGGAATTCAGTCCCGACGTGGGAACAGGAGTCCCACTCGCAAAGGGCATTCTTTCTTTTACCTCGGGCAAGGAGCGGTGTCCCGCCATCACCAGGAACTCGAGCACACAGTCCGCCGATCCGGAATCGGACAGATTTGGCTCCACGACCGGGTAAAGCAGCTTCAGCTGGTCGCCATAAATCCTGCTGCTCATCACACCCTCGCGCGCCTTCATGAAGTTCACGTTGCCGCGGAGAGTATTAATTTCGCCGTTGTGGGCGAGCAATCTGTCGGAGGAAAAGAGAGAGTAGCGCGTTGACACGTCGGTGTTCTGCGGTTTCGTTACGTCCTGTGCGCGGGACGATTAGACGGCGTTCAGAACGCCACGCTTGTCGCGGTTGGATCTCCGTTAATAATGCGGAGATTGGGGTGCGCGAGGACGAGATCGAGGGGGGAACGGAATCCGCGAAATTAATCGTGAATTCGGGGGGAATATACGCGGCGTGGAGTAAACCCGAGTCGAAATTTTAGTCTTAGTTTCTTTTTTTTAGCTTTAAGCCCAATTTAAGTTCTACATTAAGCGTTCAAAAATCTTCTATTGTGCTCCTTCGATGCTACAAGTGGGAACTTATTTCTGTTCTCTCCATTTGCAAACTTGAACGTAGAATTATTAATTTCAGCTCCTGAAGAATGAGAGATAAAGTAATATTAAAATGAAGCAGTTAATTGACGCGCTAGCCTTGTTCGATAAGAACTCAAAAATAGAGTCTCTCTCTCTATCTCGGTCGTTCACGACGCGATGTACTGCGCAGGAAAAGCGTACGGTTTCATCATGATGCGGAGAAAAAACGTTTGAAAAAAAAAAAGGTGTTTCAATAACAGCATTCCGTCTCGCTGAACACACTTATCATTTCCACCTTATCGATCACCTCGGTGTGGAGAAAAAAAAAGAGAAAAAACTTCGACTCACGCAGACACACAACAGAAGTTCTACGTACTTCCTCGAACAACGATTATTTCGCTGAACAAAAAAATCACGCGGACAAGAAGTTGCGTTCGAGAGGAAATTTGCTAAGAATCTTTTTTACCAATTATCGCGTTAACTAATGAGATGTGGTGCGTTACGGGTTATTTTAATTGTGCCGTTAACCGGCCCGATATGACCGATTAAAGTCGATTATCTTGTCCTTCGCACTAATCGGATATTACGTGTGTTGATGTTGACGCTTACCGGAGAGGATGTGCTCTCTCCCAACTCGGGAACGTGTTTGTGGAGAAGCGCGTATGCACCAGCGCCAAATAGGTCTCGAATTTGGGAGACTGAGACAAAGAAGAGGAACATTTCACATTAGATTGTCGATCTCGCGATAGCGAAATGCGCTTTATCAATCGGGCTGACATACAACAACAACAATAATAAAAATAAAAAATAATATCAATAATAACAATGATAATAATAATAATAATATTTTTATTGAATATTAGAAGTTTTAAGAAGGATAAGATATTCAAGATGCTATGTTTTGAGTGGCCAAAAGGCGTACAACAGTTGCGTTCAGCAAAACAAAACGCTTGACGAACGTTCGGTGCGTATTTTCAGATCCAATCGAGATCTACGTGTACACATTGATCTATAATCGTCCGCTGAACCCGACTGTTACTGACTTCTTTCCCCGAGAGAAGAAAATAGTATAATGCGGCTGCTCACCTTCAAATCCGTGAAATACAACCATAATTGATCGGCGGTGAGCTGACCCTTGTAGACAACCGTCTTCAGCGACAACGAGCAGATGTAGTATCGCAATCCCGGTCGTGGTATCGAGTGCGACGATCTCTTCCTCAGTACGAATATCTGGCGAAAACGGACACGATCGTGTTCGTGAGAGGTAAAGCGTAATTAAATAATGATTGTGTGTGTGTCTCAACCTTGAAAAACGTGGCTGTTTGCGAAGAATCCGCGTTCTATTTTTATAAATTGGCAAAGCCATTTAATGCCGAATCGTTTAACCCTGAGCACGAAAATATTAAGAGAACCGTCAAACGAGCGGCCTCTTATTGGAAACTTCTCTCTCACGTTTCTATACTTAATTTCGAGCCTCGTCTATTCATCACGCTTTCGCCAAAATCAGGCCGACGTCGCCCGATTGCGATCAGTCAAATTCCCGTCCTCGATCTTTATCATGTCTTATCATCATGTTATGTCGAATTGAGAATTCAAAGGAGGGGATCAGCGAAGCACCGATCAGAAATAATTGACTCCGTCGTTGCGACTCGGCCTCAAGGGTCAAGCGAATTACCTGTCGTTTAAGCATATCCGCGTCTTGATCGCCGGTAACGAACACTTGACGCATGTAAGGTTCGCATTTCTTCGCCACTTGGCCGATCTGCGTATCATCGGTGGGCACATCGCGCCAGCAAAGTACCTGAAAGAATCGCGCAATTTCGAATAGACGTTAAACAGAGCGCATTCATTTGGCACGGGGACGCAAAAGAGTGCGGCAACTCAAAAGTGATAAACGGACTAAGAGAAAAATCATCATGTCTTACTCTCAAATTACACTCCTTAGCCAGCTTCTCGAACGCATCTTCCGCTTCCTTGTGGGTTTTCTTGTCGAGGAACAAGATACCGGTCGCGTATCGTCCGAACTCGGGCAATTCGACATTCTGTTGTTCACTGCATGACACAATACGTTATTGAATCAATTCGTTAAGCTTGTACGGGTTATAATGCATTTTCCCTGTCGTTTAAGTTGTCTTTAATCTATCCCCCGGAGAGTTATTCGTGTGATTCACGATTTAAGAAAGATTCGTGTAATGCAAGATTTTGACGGTTCTATGAAACTAGAATTTAGGGTCTCGCGAGTCAGATATTAAGAAAACCGAGAAGGATCCACGGAGATCCAAAGATCGGGCGAGAAAAATCCGCGACTAAAGATCCACGGAACCGTGTCGGGGACCCGCGCGAAATTCCGAGTCCGTTCAAACGACCGGTCGAGACACGTGAATACATTCGGCTGCCTTGCCACTCGACAAATGAAAACGTCACTGTTGAAGGCATCCGTCGAGTGTACACTAAACTTCAGTAAAGTCAAACATTAAACAGGCCAAAACTGAGTAGCTTTTCTTAGTTGTTTTCATCGCGTCTGGACATAATTGAGAGACTTGGTCCTCTGGCGAGTCGGATGCTCGGAAACAGACGGCGCTGTATTTAGGACTAAGTGCGCCCGGCTCAGATGTCATTCAATCCGATAACTTATAAATACATCTCGAACTATCTGTATATATACGGACGGGTGGTTCCCGCGAGGGGTCTGACTTCGCGAGCGAACAAGATTTGTGGCGCGTCGCCGTCCCTTCTCCTTACCAAATTTCATTGGCGTAATAGTCGTGTGGTATTGCGCAAAGTACACCAGCACCGTCGCCGGTATCGTTATCGCAGGCGCATGCCCCTCTGTGATTCATTCGCGCCGATAGTATCTGGGCATCTCGGACGATCTGAAATTATCCGTAAGATAACAGGCGTAAATATCCGTGAGAGTGAACCGGCCCAAACAGCAACTCTATTCTTATCTCTGTCTGATTAATAAGAAATTGTAGCTCGCCACGTTCATTATCAATGACTTGCTTATCTCGAACATAACACTCTTTCCTTTTTTTCTTGACGCTTTACAGCTGTCACGCGTTACACGCGTGCTCTGCACTTGATGCATTAATCCTACGCATTGTGGAATTAACTGCGCACACGGAAAAGAAGAAAAATTGATTTTCTCGAAAATCCCGTGGCAGCCAACGTGTCAAACGGATATATCCCCATCAATTATTTGCGTTCTTGTATACAATTTATCTACGAGTTTATCTATCTCGCGACTTCTGTTTTTGACGATACCGAATATTCTAATCCCCCCTCTCGCGCGCTTCACTTTGGCGATCTCAATTCGATCGATTCCAATACGTTCAGTTGTAAACGTCGCGATAAAATCGTCCGATATTCACAAGCTCAATCTGAAATAAGGTAGTGCGATTTAATTCAACGGTCATTGGTCCGGCCTAATGTTACATCTCCGTTTTCTTTCTCGTAATTTTACAAGTGTGGTTTAATTCCTTTTTAATTCCGTCGACGAGCTCCGAGAGAGCGCTCTGATGTTTGTTTAATCGCGATACCTTCGACACTTACTGTTCATCGGTCTATTACGTTCAGCGCTAGGCTTTCTACGCTTAAACACGTTATCTTATCTTCATTACTTATGTAACAAATCTATGCAGAGTATAACGCAATATCATGTGTCATGTGCGTTCGTGCAGCGGATAACAAAGATCGAACTACGTATACGTTCAATTGCGTTCTTTGAATTTTACACTTAAAAGCGACGGACGACAAAGTTTGAAATCGGCGCTCACCTTGTGCGACCTCTTTCCGTCAATGGCTACGATAAAACCGACGCCGCATGCCTCCCGCTCGAGAGTAGGGTCGTAAAGGCCTTGCTTCGGTGGCAAGGTCCACGGCTCGGAGTAATTCGTGGTGGTGTCCTTCATAATCGTAATCTGAAAAACGAGGAAGAAAAAACTTATATTACGTCGCGTCTCGGCCGACTAGTAATTACAATTGAATAACTGCGCGAGCTCTTTCTCTCTTTATTTGCGACTCATATCGCGACTCTGCGTAGAAAGAATTCAAAAAATGAGTCTTGATCTGTTCTTAACTGAACAAAAAAAAAAAAATTGTAAATCGCAGAAATATCAGGAGAAAACAGCACTACTGGGGAAAATATTGCGAAACGTATTCTTGGCACGTTTGACTTGTCAAGAGAATATGCATGAAAAAAAGGTTGTCATTTGTATAAATTTATCTCTTAGATTAAAAGGAATTAGTTCTTCGTGCGCATAACGTACATGCGTGTACCGCGTCGTATGGTATTACGTAAATCGCGAAAGCGCACCTTCTACGCGCTAAATATCCACGTTATATCGTCGTTGGCGAACCGCAATGACGATCGATGTGTAAACAAAACGAAGAAAATACGTCAAACAGATCGGTGTCGACGTGTTCACGTGGTCGTCCGATGCAGCGAACGTGTAAACGGTAGTACGGCGTATATCAAAGTAGCTGGCCAGCCAACCAGCCAACTGGCCGATAGTAATTGTTTGATAGTCAACAGTCGGGAATTTACACTTTCGTATGCGGCGGGGTATTCTGACGAAAAGGTCGATTGGCAGTCGGATGTGGCACGTATCTCGTTAATTGTTCTGATCTTTAGTTTTTTTTAATGCTTCGTCAAATCTGACATAATAATAATAATAATAACGACTTTATTGGTGTAAAAAAGCGAATAAGTAAAGTAACACAATACAAAAATAAAGATACAGAACCGGTACCCGGAACCAATAGGCGAGGTAAACAGCAATGTGGCTGATACCGACTGCCTTACTTATAAATGCATAACTGATTGCAGATAAGTGAGAAAATAAGAAGATAGAAATTCACGATCGACACAATTATCTCAAATACTCCGGTCTTGTCGCGTAAGATCTTACTGGGCAGAGAGAGGAGTGTCGATAGTGAGAAATAAGAGTCTCACGGGGTGTTTAAACAGATAACAGGTGACGGTGAGACGACTTGCGGCTGTCGTGGAGGAAAGGTCTGACGTCGAGCGTTTGACAACGACACGTGGAGGCGTCTCGTGTCTTCTCGTGTAAACGCGACCGCTTGATCGCACGTTTCCCACGTAGAGCACGAGAGTTCGCGAGTCGGCCGAGTCGACTTAAGCGAAGAACGAAACTGGCCGGTCGTCTGTGGACGTTAAAAACGCGCTGAGCTCGCGGAAAAAACGGCCGGCGAGCGCGGCGTCATGAAGGTTGACCACCTCTGCGACGACGCGATTGTACCCACGTGCGATGAGATGCGGAGGAAGCGAGCGATCGATACGACATACAGGGTGTGTCTGAAAGAGTTCGGACGAGCTCTCTCTCTCACGTTGCGAAGGATGTTGGACGTTTCCAGGATCGATGAAGCCGAAGCGAAGAATGCTCTGCACCGAGAGAGAGAGAGAGAGTCGGTTTGCCAAAAGTTCCATGAATCGATGGACGGATTCGCGTTCAGGCGACGCTCGTAAGCGGCCAGGAACGTCTCGAAGAGGCTTGACGGTGCGTCGACGTCGACGGGAGCGAGTTTATACACGCGCTTCCATTCGTCACGCGCGTGTCACGTTTGCCCGTTGGTATACAAGCAGAAAGGTATCGTGAGGTAAAAGGATATCCGCGGGTATCCTTCCCAGAAGAGATAGTATGGCGCGAAGATCTTTCGCGTCGATACTTGGGTGCATTTCACGTGCCGATGATGTTATCATGCGCGCCGGCGGCTGACAGAAATTAAGGTCGGAATCCTTCCATTTAGGATGCAGGGAAATGGGCTTTCGTGAGATTACGTATCCCGAATGCTTATGCCGATCCAGTTCGAGGCTGCGACAATCATCGGACGCGAGACCACGGACTTTAAGGGGTGAAGCATTTCCTCGGGCCGCGCGCAAGCGAGCTCCTGAGGATACGGAATCCATGATGGTGGTGTTCCAAAATTATCTCCGGGCTATTCCGGGCATTTCTCGAGACGAGAGAGGAAGCGTATTCTCGCGTTCGTTCATTATCGCTTTTATCGTTAGAATTACTTCGGCTGCCGGAGTTGAGATAAAGCACGAGCACGCGAGAAGCGTATAGTTCATTAATAATTGATCGATCGTCAATGGCACATAATTTTTCGTTGCCGAAGGTTAGAAGTGTACAAGGAATTTTACGAAATTAAACGCATTGTCTCAAATATGGTCCTTGTGCAGCTCGGAGTCGTAGCTGAGAGGATACAGTGACGCACACGTTATCTTCGAAACAATGACAACTAATTGAGTAAAACCAAAGATAGAGGAATCATTATAGCTTACGTATCGGGAGTAATTAAAGTGTAAACATTCTATTGAGATAATTATCCTCAAAGAGGATTGCCTTGGGGAAAAAATGACATAATTAAGGGCGGCGTATTTACATCTGCTTGAACAGAATAGAGGAAATGATTTGTATAATTCGCACGTATTAAAGCGTATTAAAGCAAACGAGCTATTAACGAGCCAATTCCAGACAACATATCGCTCTCTTAAAAAGACACGTCACGGCGGCGAAAACGCGGTCGTTTTAAAACGCATAAAGAATGCATGCCTATAACGCGTTATAGGTTTAACCTGTTCGATCTCGTTTCGCGAAACTCGTTCCGCGGGCGAAGTGGCGAGAAAGAGTGGGAACGCGAACAAGTAGAAGGAAAGAAAGACAGGCTACACGTGTAGAAGAACGTTACACCACGTCAGGAGTGGAATTACTTATGGGAGCATTGGACACTCGGCGCGTCTGCGTATACGGGGTGTCTTTAAAAAAAAAAAAAGGCCCGTGGTGTATACCAATTTTGGTGTAAATTCGAAATTACGCGTTTCAATCCCCTCGTTTCTCATTTACCTTACCGGTTGTTCTACTCTCGAGCCCTCCCCTGTGGCGGATTAAAGTTTCAACCGCGAATTAATTTCGCGATCCTTCGCGCAGGTTGCTGCGATACAAAACGTTACCCGCGAGGAAAGGTTCGTATACGCGAATATGATGATTTTTTGAGGATTTTAGGGAGAGCTAAAACGGCGCGTACGTGAGAAAGTCGTTGAGATTTTAATTGTAGGAGTTATTTTTTTTTTTCGTAAAAATTTCTGCGCTTACGATTTTACGCGCGGCAATGGATATGTACAGATTCCACGGATCAAATTTATGTCGCTTTGCGTGTGTGCGGTATTTTCCCACTTAAGAGTTCAAACTGCGTACACACGCCCGTATCTCAAATTCTCGTGTGTATGTATGCGTGTGTATGTTATCGCATATCTCTTTCTCTCTCTCTCTCTCTCTCTCTCTAATAAATCCGTCAAGGCTAAGAGCGCGTCGTGTTTGTGTATCTTGAGCCTCCTGCAAATTTCTTAGATTTTTCGACGGTAAATCTCTCGCCATAGAACACTATTTCGGCTTGGGAAATACTTTCTTTCTAAAAGAAACTTAACACTTCAGTGCGGACCGATGATTTCCCCGAGGAGACGAAATATATAAATGCACCGGAATACATCGGAGAAGCTCGACACGCGAGTCCACGTCTTCTTGCTTCGGCGGTCGACGTGGCGCACGAATCCCCCCTTACCGTGTAAGAAGGTGCACTTCGAATTGCAGGTCGCTCCGAAAATGCGTGCTCCTCCTTCCTTGCCGATCGGCAGCTCCGTAAAGAAAAAAAGAAAGAAACGGGAAACCAGTTCTCTTTCTCTCCCTCTCCTTTTCTTTCTCTCTCTCTCTCTCTCTTTCTCACGATTATTAATTAGCAGCAATTATCGTTAATTGTATCGATTGGATCGCTGCGTGGACTCTTTTCTCGAACACTCTCAGGACGAGAATCGTGAATCCAGCCAAGATGGTATTCACCGCGTACGCACGTTACACGTCCGCAAATTTTCACACCGCACGTCGACTTTTCGAATTTCCGATCCTGGCGCGATCACGCGTGAAAAGCGAGCCGGCGGGCGTCTCTTGCGGCCGCGGCTCTGATCCTGCTCCAAGAGAGCACCCTCACGGAGAATCGTCCAGAATAACGACCCCTCTCTCTCTCTCTCTCTCTATACCACCTCCTCTCAGATCTCGTAGTTTCGATTCGATTCAGGAAAACAGCAGAACGTAAAAACAATCACACACACTCGCACAAACCGCTAGTCGAGCGGGAACTGAGACGGTGGCGCTCTGATGTCGCTAAAAACCGAAAAGCTTTCTTCCCGCTCTCCCTTCCTCGTTCCTTCTCTTCGTCGACGCGCTCCCTGCTTCTTCGTTCCTCTTGCGTGCTCCGACTCACCCAGTCTCGCTCGCCGACGTTTTCCCCTCTTCCTCTCTGGCGCATACTACGAGACGACGCTCCCTCCCTTTATCGCCCTCTACCCCTCCCCTGCGGTCCCCTTCTTCCACCTTGCCCTCCCATTCCGCGTCGCGTTCCGACGCGTCTCGGTTCTGAGGCGCCTCTGCGTCCCTCGGAATGCCGCCGAGTTCCGATATTAATCGCTTCGCAGAGTGTTGTGTTGCGAAGTTATTTTTTGTTTTCAGTTTTTGATGACCGTCTTCCCCTCCTCTGAAAATGTTTGACTTTGAAACGTATTCGAAGCGACGAAGTTCCTAGACGGAACTCCGATAGCTGACGCGTCGTATTTCTTCGCGCGTTCGATGCGTTTCGAAGTGTGCGTATACCTGGCGACGAAATAACGTGTCGTTTCGACTCATAACATCGCAGTGAGAAAGTGAGGCGCTTCATTCGGATGAATCGGCTTGGAATGACGCACTGCTCGCCTCTTATGAACTTCTGGACGGTCAAACACGCCCGAAACGCTTCGTCCCCTCGAAGGCCTGAATTATTTCGGAGCGACCGCGCCCCGAAGAAAATTGAATAACGTGGTTCTGAGAAGGGACAGATGTTCACATGGAAGAAAAATTGTCTAGCTTTAAGTGGAACACAATCTCCAGAGCATCTCGTTTCGGGACGATTTTCCGGGCGGATCGTTTCGCGGCAGATACGTTGCGAAGCGTACAGTTTTCAGGCGATTTATCCTATGTGATGCTGTATGTTTATATATATATTTGTAACACTCAGAATGATATCCATGATATTGACAGAATATTATTTAACCCTTTTAGTGCCGGGAGCCGATATATCGGCTCCTGCTACACCGGCGAGAAGTGCCAGAGCCGATATATCGGCCCGCACCTTGTAGCGCTTTACTATTCGCATTGCGAGAGATCTCTATCAAAATAAATTTAAAATACGTTATAAATAGTCTAATTTCATTACGAGAGAATTAAAATAAATAATTTTTAAATATTGCTTTTCGTTTGGTTTTTATGAGCCTTTTACCAAATCCTAGTAAAATCGGCCGGTTATCTTCGCATAAGCACCTCTTTTTCGCCCGGCACTAAAAGGGTTAAGCAGTATTTATAAAGACCCAAAAGAGTGATGTTGAATCCTTTTTATTTGGGATGCAATTATTCTTATCGCAAAAATGCGATGGAAGATAAATTTGTAAAGTGTGACACAAGAATATAGAATTTCTGATATTAAGATCAATGTTTGAAGTTTTCATGTAAAAGTTCGAATTTTCCACGGTAATTTCCGCAAATATTTCAACATTTCGAGCGTTCTCATTCAATTAACGTTCCATTATTTTTCATCGCAGAATGCGCTAAAATCGTTTGCCGGCGTGTCGCCGTTACTTCTCGACTCGAGAGGACGTCTGTGAGATTCCCTCTCTCTATCCTCGTCTGAACGAGTTCGGGACTCCCTCTCCTCCCTCCCGCCCGCGCGTCTCCCTCCTTTTCTCTCTTTTCTTCCCTCCGTCCTTTTCCCGCCGGCTGCTCGCCTGCGTTCGTTAATTTGCACATCTGTGCCAAATAATGCCAGTCATTACCGTCGTAATCCTTAATCGTAACCACCGATTATACCCTCGGCTCTTAATTTTGTCAATACATAGCACAGATGTGCGTGTATATACGTATGTGTGTACGTGTGCGTGCGTAAACTATTTCTGGAATTTCCTTGCATTCGATGAATCGTATTAGTCACGCGTGTCTCATGCATTCAGAATTTCTCAAATCGTGCGTATCGCGATAACAGCGATAATGAAAAGGAAGTATCCCACCTATTCAAAAATACTTCATATCGATTTAAA